CCAACTCAACCTTGCAGGAAACTAATCCAGCCAAAAAATCGGAGGGGAACAGTGTGCTCCGTTGCAGGAACGGGTTGAATCCTTTTTCCCTACCGCAAAAGCAGCACCCAAAAGAGCGTACGGCCCCTTGGGTGCAGTTAGGCAAGGTGAAGAAAGCGGGTGAAGGACTTGCTCTGGATCACACAGCTAGCCTGGCCCAGAGGGCTTCTCGCCTCCCGCTGGCCACTGCTTTCCGGGCACGGCTCGGGTATAAAGCAGGGAACGCCAGCCGTAGTCGCCATGGGAAAGCTGCCGGGCAACGGGAGCGAAGGGCCCATTCGATGCTGCCCAGAGCAGGCTGGCTGGCAGGAAGACGGGAAAGCCAAGGAACTCCAGGGCAGCTCAGACTGATGCGCCTGCACGGCCAACTCGGCCAAAGAGCTAAGCTCGTAACAACTTTATCACAGCAATTTGTGGCTTGTGCCTTAGCTCAGGAGATCAGAAGAGATAGGAAGAGTTTCATAAGAGCTGCTGGCAGGCTAGCAGACTTTGCTCCTTTCCTGCACTGCTGCAGATACGAGGATTTTTGTGGAGGACAGAAGTAACTCTTATGTGAAACCTTAAATCTTAGCCAGGTTTAGTGTACGGCATACTCGTCTTCATCCTGTAGAAGTCAGATTAAACGCAGTCTAAGTCTGGGCAGCAAAGATGCAGAATTACAACGCCGTCTCGCACCCCGGACCAAAGAAGGATGCTATGCGAGGGCTCGGCCGCATGCGGGATCTGCCCCAACCCCAGGTCCCGCTGCCCGCTCCAGGAGAGCGGCTGGGCTCACCCCTGGACCACCACCCCCTGCACTGCGAGTCAGGAAAAACACGTTGGGTTTCTTTTTTTTTTTTTTTAAATAAATTTATCAAGGGTGCAACTGTAACATCAAAATACTAAAAATTGGATACAGTCTTCTCTGTTGGGAAAGATTTGTCAAGAAAAGAGGATCGGGGAGGGCGGTGAGAGCAGCAGCAGTGCCCTCTGCTGCCCACGGCAGCCTGCGGCCGTGCAGCTACCAGCTCGTCGGGCGCGAAGGCCAGTCCAAACCCCAAGGGTGAAACTAGAGAAGACGAGGCTTCGCTTTTACACAAGAGCCCCTGGCTTATTTATCCAATACGTGGCTTTCTTTTGAATCGTTCAGAGCACGCTTACAGGGACAGAGCAGTTTTTGCTCTCTCTTTGTAGCAAACGACCACCTGTACAGACGCCAAGAGGACGTTGCAAAGACGACCATCACATAGGCAGCCACAGCGATGAACCTGCTAATCCAATAGTGACCATGCTCCAAGCTGTGCTAGGTATTTCATGTGACGGTGCTCAGCTTTCCAAGCAGTAAAACGGGGAGAGCATCAGGTTTGAAATCCAAACGCGAAAGAATACAGCGGAAGCTGCTAAGACTCAGGAATATCTGCATTTAAAAAGCTTTCAAGACAATCAACTCTGACAGTCTCTCCTTGAGGTGAGCCAAAGAATTTGAGTTTTATGCAGTATTGCACCCCGTGAGAATAAGCCCTGGGATGTTAAAGCATTAATTCTTCCCACTTCTAAGCAAACTTAAAATAGGATATTCTGCCACCTTCTCCGTGCTGGAGGGCATCACCCTATCGCTGAAGAAAATTCAGAGGAGCTACCTACCAGAAAGCACACGACTCAAAACCACAGCTAGCCCTGCCGAACAATTTCTGTTGTTCAAAGCATTATATAAAGCTCTGCATGCAATGCAAGTCAAGCCCATTCTTGGGAGAAGACACAATAATACAGTTTTGCTTTTCGTGATCTGTTAACAGCTTAGTAAAGCAGAGTCTCCTGACAGAGCACTGCCTTGTTAGCACAGACTGTGTTCCTAACAACTCCTGCAGAAGCCATTAACTTACCACAGATAACACTGCATTAATTAGCCAGAAAAAGCCCAAGAAGTCACAAGTGAAATTTGCAGTCATTTGCCACCTTCTGGCTTAGTTTTAAGAAGGGATGAACTCCACGTTTGCTTTTCAATTAAACGTAGGACACCAAATTTCTTAGAAACACCAGATAATTGAGGTGGGAAGGGAGCTCAGGAGGTCTCTAGTCCAACCTCCTGCTCGAGGCAGGCTCAGCTCTGAGGTCAGAGCAGGTTGTTCAGGGTCCAGGCTGGTCTGAAAAACCTCCAAGGACGGAGACTGCACAACCGTGCTGGGAAACCCACTCCAATGCTTCACTGCCCTCACGGTGAAAGAGTTTCTCCTTGGATCCAGCCTGAATTTCTATTTTCAGTTAATGCCCTCTACAGTCAGTGGAGAAGTATATTCCTCTGGGGAGCATTTTCTAGATGAGCTTCTTCCCCTGGGCCAGGACCTGCCCAAGACAAGTCTCCAAACCAAGTTCATGGTCCAATTTACATTTCTTTCAGCAGCAGCTGTTTGCTCTGCCCCGTTCAGTGCTTCGTCAGTCTACACTGAATTATATCAAAGTTATCTGGTTTAAAAATAACTGAGAAAGAGAGAGAGGCCGACACACTGTTGGAGCCAGCACTGCCACCACGAGAAACTAATTCACTGGCCAATGGCACAGCTTGATGAAAGCGTTTAAGGATTAGGTGCTATTAAAAAACAAAACAAACAAAACCAAAACACCCTCCCCTAACCTCTACCACAGAAAACTGCACTTGCACGAGCAGGTAAGATCCTGCCAAGAGAACAGAAATTCAATCCATGAGCATGGCATGAGCAAATTAGAAAGGGGACAGAAATTCAGACATTTATATTTTACCTCTTAAATGGCTCATTTAACTAGAACACACCCTTTAAAAAAAGTCTCAACTCCACAACTGACCTTGTCTGTGTTATTACGGACGATCCCTTTTCGCTTAACCTAGGTGTCATCCATGAGCCACTGCATAATGGGATACAAAGTCTTCACGCTTCTGTCTTTACGACGATAAAACGCATCCAACTGAACAACCACTCCTCCTAGGAAACAAAGCACCTGCTTCACCTCCTCCTGCCCTCAGCCACCGGGCTTTAACAGCGTACCGCCTTCACAGCGCCCGGGCCGCTCAGAAGGGCTGCGGTGACCGAAAAAGAAAATCTTAACCTGCTGTCAGCAGCCCAAGATGGAAGGTGCTGGTGGACAAAGGGGGTGGGTTAAATATTCCTAGATTAAGTTAACTCAAGTTCAGCTGAATTGCAAGTGCAGAGGAAGGTTTATAGTTAATTCTTCTGCTGCACCTACCTTGGAAAAGTAATTCGGAAAACTGGATTCAAGACAGATGTTTAAATATTTCATTTTCTATCTAGCCTTTATCCTTCAGACCACGAACTTTAGTAATGCGAGCTCTCCTAACACCTGAGCAGCACAGCAACCAAGGTATCAGCTACTCAAGGGGTGGCTCCACAGAGCAAGCTCATTGCTCTGCTCTCAGCCTCACAAGTACCCATACTCAGCCGCAGCGGAGCGGTTCTGGGGTCGAGCCCACTCATTCTCTTTCTCCAGATGTCTTGGGGCTAAACATTAAACGTATTTGTCTATTACGGTGACAGTCAGCCTTGCAGGACGTCCTAATTGATTAGGAGTGTATATTAAAAGTTGAAATTAGCATTTCTTGATTTGCCAGATCCCACTTAACATCCTAAACTATCACTCGCCTGGGTAAAAAAAGGGCTGTCTGACATCTACAGATAATATGAACCGTATTCTAATAATTGGCATTTTGTGCTTCCTTTCTGAAACAGGAAAGGTACTATTATGAAAAAAGAAAAGTTTTGCCCTTGTTTAGATGCCTGTGACCTCTTGCTATGCGGAGAGTAAAGACAACCCTCCTATCAATATCCTGCTCTTTGGAGAGCCTTGAGGCAGATCTGTGCACCCAGCCCATGCACACAGAAGGATCTCAGCTTGCCTGCAGAGAGCGTAGGCTCCTGTCTCGGCAAAAGTAAGCCAGAACATACCTATGCCACAGATCCAAGTAACACACAAGGACTCGTATAGCTTTGTAAATCCTCTGGAGTATTTTTTTTTCCAAAACTGAATACTTCCTTGAGAAGTATGTAGATACATATAACCTGTCAGAAGTCCCCAAGAGCAAAAAGATTGATCGAAATTATTCAGGTCTGCAGGCTAACAAGCAATTAATATTCTTGGGTCAACACATCCACATCTTCACCTCTGCAAGAGGAAAAGAGTTGCCTGTCTGCTAAGGACAAGTGACTGTTCATTCAAGATAGTCTAGAGGTGTGGACGATCCCACAGCTAAACACTGTCTGGACAGAGTACCATTTTGTTTTCTAAGCCTTAAAGACAAAGATTTTTTCAATTTCCCAATTATTCTGGTCACTCCTGCAATTTTTACTTTCCGGAAAGGGTGAAGGTGTGAAGAGAGGTGAGCAGTGCTGGCCAGCCCAACGCATCCCTTTCTGCAAGCCACAACGTACACAGAACGTAAGCGTACAGATTAGCGGTGCTCATACTTCACAGTTCAGACCACTGCCAAGCCTAAAGTTTCTCACAAACTATTATCCACCCTTTCCCATCGACTTTTAAATTGGAATAACCATATAAAAACATAGATTTGCAGGTCACTTACCATATCCTCATGGATCAATCTAGCACAGGAATTGTCCAGAGCCCAGGGAGAGCAGGTGGAAACAAAACCAAACCAAACCACCCCTCTTCCCATCTAAAAAATGAGCCCCGTTCCTCCTCTATTACAAGGAGGAGCTTATCTTACTTTCCTTTGCAAAGGAGGCAGTGTGTCAACAGGCAGTATCTGAGGCTAACGTGCTAGGGTATAGCAACGGTCGCATCCACGCTTAATATGCCTTAGGCAGAGGCTGCGAAAGTCACAAAAGGAACAGGAAAAACACTCACAGAAGTCAAATAATTTTGGTTTTATATTCAGTCTTTGCAAATCAAGGATGTCCTATTTTTACTATTCATTCAAGGCAAAAATCTACACAAGCATGTCAAAAGCAGTAATTGAAGAACAGTAAACACAAGTCTTGAAAATACGTTTAATGTCTAATCTTATACAAAAGTGACAGCATTTTCAAAAAAATATCAAATCCTGTATTTATAGCTTCTCACTATCATACAGCAATATTTGTTTCATCTAAAGAAAATACAGCAGCAGGTGATAATCTATACTTTAAAGATGTGATTGCTTATATTTCATATTGTAAACAAATGCGGTATGTCAATCTCAAAGCACAAGTCAAAACAAACTTCTCAGCAATTTAACTCAAATGATGCATAGAAATGTACAAATTCCATTGCAAAAGCTTCAGGCCAGAAGTTGCTCACACTTGACATAACATGTGATAAAGTTACTACACGGTATATAGTGACAACTTGAGTTTTTACACAATAGATTAACAGGTATACCCTTTTCACTGCTATGCAAAGAACTTTGCTCACAAAAACAAAGGGGTTATGAAACAGTTTTCATGACCGCAAGAAATACGAATATACATTGAAAAAACATCCCATATATACTGAATTGTAGCCTAACCGTTCCAGTAATAAATCCTGCCTATTTCAGGAAGAACCTAGAAGTCTAGTTACTTTTACAAATCCCCTTTCCAAAATTCATTATTTGCTATGTTCACTTTGTCCTTTTCTTCCTCTTCCCTTTCCCTGCAAAGACAAGGACCAGTGCAATTTCAAACTGGAGTGCTGCTGCTACGTGTTCCATTCATTTGAAATAAATGTTTCTCCATCACACTGATTTATCAACTAAGGCTGCAGGTATCAAAAAGCACTTGAGCAGATGTGGTCAGTGGTCTATCATTGTTACTTTTATCAGTCTTGCCAAGATCTAAGCCAAGTCTGTTGTTTGGGAGGAGGGGAGCTTGTTTAAGGTTAATGAAGACTTCTACACGTTTTTCAGGTTCTGATTTCTAAGGACACAGATGCTAGGATTTAGGCTGAGATGTTAAGTATTTTTTGTTCAGCTCCGCTATCATCTCCCTAAAACCCTACTACCTTTGCTACTAGTTTTTATGGCAATAGATTAAAACAGTCACAGCTAAGTTGAACTGCTTTCTGCTGCAAAAACATTGCAGGACTTTGCCATAAAGGCCAAGCCAAGCATCACCACCAGGTCACCCCACTCATTTTAAGTAGTCCATTATATGCACGCAGGAAGCCATGATAAGGTATGGGAAGAGAATTAACTTGCTTTCACAGTTCCATGATACAAAGATTCCCTAATGAGCTACCATGTTAAGTGACATTTCTTTCTAATTCTACCTACAGAGACTAAGTTAGGATATCCTCAGCTGAGGATAAAATAAACTTTCCATGGTCAAAGTCTAAGCTATGAAGTACCACAAAGAATTCCAAAACTCCTCACTGACGCATGGGTATATGTTTTGATAATGCTAAACTAGCATTGCAATAAACCCCTGACATGCTCTTTGCACAGATATGGCAAGAATATGAAAACTTACTGCAGTGCCCCTTCAGAAGAGGGACAGCTACACAGCAGTGCACAGGCTTCTACACATTCAATTACTCCCAAATTAAACTTACTCAGTGAGGTATGCAGACACCTAGCTGAGAACACAGGACTTGTCCACATCACTGTATTCAATGGAGTCCCAATGAGACTGGCTCGTTCTCAACTGTGGCAATAACAACGATACAAAGGATCCTTGTAGCTGACAGAATTAAATGCAAAAAGCTGTGGGGAAGGGAACTGACAGACTTAATTTTTTTTTTTTTTAAAAAAAAAAAAAGATCTTTTAAGCTCAAGTTCAGTTTCCAGGGACTCTGAAAAAGTCTGCTGAGTTTTCACAACCCAGCAGCAAGGTCAAATTTTCAATGACTAGAATCCACGTTAGAAATAGGGAAGTACCTTACTTAAGTGGGAATCAGTTTCTCTTTACATAGACCAAGCCAAACTTCCAACCACCACAGAATGAAAACTCGCAAAATCATGTCCTCATTTGCATGCATAAAACTCACATTTGTTGATTCAAAGTTAACTGCACATCCAGGTATTTTAGTTGCACATAAATGCCTGTTTGTGAACGCGAACAGTGTGCAGACAAGTCAGACCAAGTATTTCAATGCGCATCTTCTCTGCTGTAGTCCCAGACTGAGCAATTGTTTTGAGTATATACAAAATGCTGAGAAAACCTTCAAGTTCACATGCTCCGTCTCTTTAGTTTGAATTACTGTAGCATGTTCAAAAAGTTACATTTCTTGACAAGAATCTTGAAATACACTTTTTATTGACATTTTAGAATAACCTGAAAATAGACAAAATATGACCATCCATCCATTCAGCGACCAGCACAAGTCTGGCAACAAAACTTAAAGCATTCATGGAAATTTAAGAACTAACAATTTGTATGTCCCTGGGCCCGATTTTTTTTTTTTTTTTAAATAATCCTTACTTGGCAATTCCCAGTTTTCCAAGCGGAATACTTGCCAAAGTAAGAACCACAGGTTTTAGTTTATTTCTGCTCTTCACAATTCACTTTATTAAACCAAACAACTACGCCAGCATATGAGCAAGTTAAATTTATGCAAATTGCTCCTTCATACCTCAAATGCACATACAAGAGGCAAGTGTTCTTCATAGCCCCAAACATTACTGAAACAAAAACTGTAAAAATCTAAGTAGTGGATGAAGGTGGAAAGCTACAGTACTTTGTTGCCCAGAACGTATTCAACGGTAAGGCTGCAAGAGACAATAATTCACAGTCAATACTGGGTTTACACACAGCAGTTAATTCACAATTACAAACATTCTTAATTAACGACTAGTTCATCCTTACAATGTGTTATTCCCTCCCTATGCCCTAGAAGGGAACCCTCTAGCCTGCAGAGACTAGAACACTTTCTATGTTCTATTTCAGAAATTATTAGAAGCCCCTCCTACCCCCCTTTTTTGCCTTTCAAACTAGTGGGAGGCTGCTATAGCGTGATCTCTGGACTCATTCAAACTGGATCTAACTTGATCATTCTGGTATATTTAAGCATTTAAGTAGAAAATTTTCTACTATCCTACCACCGACTACATAAATAAGACAGATGTGCTGGAAGTCCTTACCTGCATTAATAGGCCTTACACTACTGAGCTTCCATATTTAAACGTACAACATTTTAGAACAATTTGAGGCAAGTTATATACTCACATGGGGACCACCAGGCATTGATGGAGCACCAGCAGGACCAGATGGCACTTGAAAAGGATTAGGGGGCGTAGGATATAGTCCTGGAGCTGGATATGATCCTGTGGGTGGAGGAAATGGACCTGGTGGTGAAGGTCCCCATGTTCCAGGTGGGACTGTACCCCATGGTACTGTTGGCGCAGCCCCTGGAGTCTGGGTAGGAGTGGAATATGGCCCTGGGGGTGGATATGGCATGCTAGGTGCAGGATACTGCCCTCCCATTGTTGGTCCCCATGCTCCAGAGGGCATGGATCCCCATGGCCCAACAGGAGCAGGAGGTGCAGCTGGCTCTGTTGGACCACCATAAGGTCTTGGAAGCTCTGGAAAGGGCATATTTGGTGGAGGATATTGCCCTGGTGGGACAGGACCTGGCACAGTTGGGGGTGGATATGGACCACCAGGAGGAGGGCAAGAGGGTCCAGTAGGAGGAGGAGGAAATGGAGCAGGCGGTCCAGGGGGCATTGAAGGATACATTCCTGTTGGTGGAGGTCCAAATGGCACACTGGAAGCAGAGGTGTTTGGTGGCAATCCGGATGGCCCAGTAGGAGGAGCACTTGGGTTGTTCCAAGGATTCGAAGCTGGCCAACCCTGTGGCGGCTGACCAGGCTGTTGACCAGGTTTTGTACTGCTCACTTTAGAGGTTTTAGCAGGTGACTGATCTGGTAAAGCATCTGCCAACTAGAAGACAGAATCAGTGAGAATGTAAGCTGCCTACTGAACTCGCCAGCTGCACACATTCATCCATTGCATATATGCTACTGTTGCCGAAGTGGGAGAAAACAAGTCTATTTGTTACTGCACAGAAAAACAATTACATTCATTTTTGTGCAGCTTCTCTCATTAGGATAGAAGAAATTCTGACGTGCTGTTGGCGTTATCAAGGCAAAGACAAAAGGTGACCTACCACACATAGCGATAAGAAATTTCAGTGCAAATCCAAAGAGAAGAGATTTTTACAAGTTTCCATTACAGCTGTTCTGACACTATTAAAACACAACTCCTATGCTCCGTTAATACAACGGCAGAAAAGAACCCACAGGGCTCCTAGCAGCCTCATATACACAGTCCGCAGATTGTCACATCTACCCCAAAGCAAAACATCACAACTGTAATAGCAAGAGAATAACCTCTCAGCTTTAAGCTCCACTTCTTGAAAAACTGTGTTTACTTTTAGCATGAAGTAACACAACTAGCTGTTGTTGTGTTCTTCAGGAAAGCAAAATTATTACTTACCGAGAAATCATCAGTTCCAGACATTTTGCTGAAAAATAAGGTAAAATAAAGTGAAAAATCACTGAAAAGAATCAAGGTATTTCAAGCAAGTGCTCCCAAGACAAATTCTACATTTGTTTCATTCAAATTGTAACAAATGTCTACGTGGTGGCACCTCTCAGCAGTGATTGTTTTAATGACTAAGACCCACAGAGATATGGACTACCCTAATACTCTCTCTTTGACACAGGTCTTACAAAAAGGCAAAAGCTTCAGCTTCTACCTGTTTCACCTTAGACAAGACCAATGCACAATGCGAGTGAGTCAGAAAGCACACACAAAAAAATATTCCAAATACTCATACCAAGTAGGCAGCCTATCCTGACAGCGATGCCTCTGCAGTATTCAAGGTCTTCCCTAAACTGGGACTCAGGAAAGGGAAGGCAGACCGTTTGCAGGTGAAGCTAACGCACCTAAGACAAAACATGGTTAAACCCCCATGCAAATGCTCTTTCAGAAGGAGAAGAGCCACGGTTTGCTGAAGCTTCATTCTCCAAGGGATTTAACACACATTAAAGACAGTAGAAACTGTTTCCTTGCACTGACTTCAGCTAGCTGACCACAACTCTGAGTGTAGACATGGCTAAGAGAGACCAGATCTCATTAATGAGTACCTAATTTCTAATCACTCAACATTTAAATGCTCAAAACAGGGACCAATGAGCCAGGAGCCATCTTTTCACCAAGGCAAGTACTGCATCCATGGTAGCTTTCCAAAACTTCATCAGGATGAAAACTGACTGGCCTCGTCAGGCTTTATGAGCCACATAAAAGGGCAGTGTCACTAACCTGAAGTTACATTTGGTTTCACTAAGGAGCAGGCTGACAACAAATACTGACTAAAGATGAAGAACTCTTGAAAGGGTGACCAAGAGCAAGTGAAATAGGTGCAGACGCCTCTACGCGGCCAGAAGCTTTAAGGGGAGACGGTAGGACACGCATATGAACATAAGAGGAGGAAAAAAAAAAAAGAAAGAAGCAAAACAAGTCAAGAATACAACACTATCGCCCACCTGAACCCAAGAAAAAAAATCACCCTTCTCAGTAGTTTAAAGATGGGGAAGATGAATTTTAAATCAGTAGTGACCAATTGGAAAGAACAAGAACATGGCACTTGCCCTAACAGTCAAGCTACTCTAAGCTCAGAGGCTTCCTAAGCGGCAGGCAGTTGCTATGTATTTAATAGCTCTCAATAGACTTCTTTCCCACAGACATGTCTAGTTTCCCCTCTTGCACCCACATCCTTTGGCGAGCAACTCCACAGGGCTGTTATTTCTTACACAAAGCAGCAGCTCCTTTTTTGCACTAAACCGAGGTCTTACTAGTTTCATTTGATGCCCCTTTATTCTTGTATTTGAGGAAAAAAGTCAACCTACTCTTATCCACCCTGCCCATGCTGCTACTACTCAGTAAATTTTTAACATTTTATCTTTTAATTGCGTCTTCTCCAGGCTGAGATCCAGCTTACTTCATTGGCCCTTGTGCAGACACTATTCCACACCTTTGACCATTCTCACTGCCTCTCTTTGAGGCTTTTCCAATTCTACTATATCTTCCAAGAATGGACACAGAAAATTCAAGATGCGGGAGAATCACTGATTTATATAGTTTCATCATTATATTCTGGTTTGTCCTCTATTTCCTTTCTAATACTTCTTAATGTTTGATCTACTTTTTGATCACTGCTGAACTGACTTTTGTGAAAATATTTCATTCCTTAGTGTTAAGGGTCAGCCTATCATTTAATATATGAAATTATATGCACCACTTCACATTTATCTACTCTGAATTACACAGCATTTATCTACATTGAATTATAACTGCTATTACCTAATTCACACTTTCCTGAGTGCCTTCACATCAGCAAGACATTGCACATCTATCTCACCTACCCATTTATTTATGGCGACACTGAATAGTCCTGATCCCTGTGGAAATCCACCGAATTTCCAAAACTACACTTAATAAGTTGGATAAACCTTTTAAGAAACACATATCTACTCCCAAAGGTCAAACAAAATTACTGCCGTGGTGCACAACGGCTAAATGCATGAAACCAAAGGTTTGTTAAAGCTCCCTCATCAGCTTGTAACAGCAGTAGTTCCTTCAAATAAGCAGAGACAACTGAATCTTTGTACTTCTTCAGTTCAGATCAATGACCATTTGTTTGAAGTTGAGAAACCAACCAGACTAGAGCAAAAAAGCCTGTTTTCTGCTCCTGATACTCAGAGCTCAGTTGTCTGCGAGATACATCTACAAGAAAGAAAAAAGCCCAATTTCTCTTCCAGAGATAACTGCTTATGTTAAAACAGTTCATTAGTTTCTGAAATGAAGCATGCTCAATACCGATCAGAAGTTGAGTCTGTGCTTTTCAGTGGCATTGTAGTTCAATTCACTTAAACACAGAAGCTATTTGAAATAAACTACAAAATATAGGAATTATTAATATAGAGAGACAATTTATAAAAAACTTTTTACATAAATGTGCACGTAGATTTATTCACGTGCAAAAAAAAATAAATAAAGCTTAGCAAAAAGCAACACCAAAACAGGCCAAGAGAACTATCTCTTCTTTATGCAGGTGGAGATGAAGAGAAGGGATGGGTAAGACCAACTGAAAAAACAGATCTACAGGAGACTGAAAAAAGCCTATAGAAAAAGCTAAAACATATGCTGCAAGGGAGAGAAAGAAGAAGAGAGACAAACCTAAAGGAGAGCTCAGAAGAAAATCCCATGATCTGTCACAGAAGTGACAGAGTACTACATTCAGGTCAAAGTGTGGATAATACAGTTTAAACAGGCCTGCTTGCAAAACATGGACAAATATCCCTGATATTCGTCAACAGATAAGTTCAAAATATTTCTTTGCCATGAAAATTATGGAAACAACTCTGCTGCACGACAATATTGGGGAAAAAACTGTAGCTAAGCATAGCCTGTAATGAGCTTTAGTTCCTTTTTAATTTGGCAAGGAGAGTAGAGCAACATTTGGCATAACTGAGCCAATGCCAAGCATGTCAAGGATCCTCTTGCAGACAGAATGGCCTACTTCGAGGACGTTTTTTAAACGCACATTTACCATTTAATCCATGTACTGCCATCTTTATTTCATAAGAAAATTGAATGTACTGTTAGATGCATTAAGGCACCAAAAGAACTAATTTGTACTTAAAATCTAAAAATCCATAAGCCATTCAAGTTGCTGAGCACTGGTATAAAGAATTTCAACCAAAACCCTACAGAAGTACCACACACAACAGTATTGACCAGGCATTTATATGCTCACAAATGATGAGACTCACTGGGAATACTGCCAGACAGAACACCTCCACGTAACTCTACTTCAAAGCTGCTGATCATGCAGGAAATAAAAAAAAAAAACCCACAAACAAAAAAAACCAAACCACAGGACAATGCTGTCAGTGGTGTGTTGATCTGAATTTTTCTTTTCTTTTTTTTTTTTTTTTTTTTTTAAAGAGAAGGCAGAGTTAATGTAAATGGATTTTCATTTTCTCTTTAAGTTTGCCTGTACGCTTTTTTTGAAGAGCATCACAAAAGCACTAATATGTGCAGAGAAAAAAAAATTAATGTAACTGACTTTTTTGCCACCCTACATTGCTACATCCAAATTCTATTTCAAATTATTCTACCCTAGAGATTGGGGATGACAGTGGTGAAGAGGGGCAAGTGGGAAGATGGGTTCAGGAGATTAAACAACTCAGCAGGGAGTTGAAAGATTACAGTTTATAACGCTGCCAGTTCTGAAGTCCTGCTTCCATCCACTTTGCTGCAAGATAAGAGTTCCTCTGTTTTCTGAAGGCCGCTGCCCCTGGAAACATCCTCTGCTTTCCAGAAGCACAGAGCCTGCCAGCTCCAGATCAGCTGTTCAGGGCCACCATTTCTCAGCCACCTCTGAGAACACATATGGCCAGAAAAGTCAAGCTGAAGTGAGAGAAAGAGAGATGACCGATGTTTTCAAAAAAAGCATCTAGGAGCAAAATGTTTCTCTTCCATTAACCTGACAAGTGACAAGAGGGCTAACGCACAGACTTCTACTGCACCTACTCAGAAACCATATATAGCACAACCTTTGGACAAGAGTCCATGGACTCCTGGATACTGGGAACTACTCCTGAGAATTAATTAATAACAGGTAGCTAAGACAAGTAAATCTGTTGGGATCTACACTGCAGAAAGGTTGAGAAGCCCTACTACACAGCACTGATAATCTCCTATTCTACCAACAGTGTTCAAGACCAACTGAAATACATAGAAGCATGGTGCTACATGCAACAGGCTAAATCCTTCCATTTCCAAAATAAAACAGTTCAATGCTTTTAAGCTATAAGCCCTTCTCTGATCATATCCTACCCAAAGGAAACAGAGAGATGTAGTAACGTTTCCTCCATGCTTTGCCCTCTTTGGCTTTTATCCATCATCAATCCCTAATGACCACAATAAAAATGAACTGTCTAAAACTTTTTTTTTTTTTTTTTTGGGGGGGGGGGGGGGGGGGGGGGAGAGGTTAAAAATACCCCAAACAAAGTATCAACTGCTTTCACAATTTTTTTTGAATTGCATGATATTTTTTTGAACGCTCGATGTGCCAGATTTAGTTCCTGTCTACAAGATTCTCTCTCAAATACAGAAAAATGCTTTCTACATGCAACAACTCTGCTGATATAAGCTGCATTTCCACTGGGTGGCATGCCTCTATCAGCAAAAAGGTTCTTTTGTCACTGTAACATGACTAATTCCCTACCAGCATAACCTCATCTACAACAAGATTTCTGCCCACATAAATATAACTACCAACATAGCTATACCGATAAAATGGAAAAGAGACCAAATCTTTGACAGCTTCTAAGTGTTTTCCAAAATATGCAAATTTATGCAGCTTCTGCCTTCAGTCATTAAGCACCAACATGTTTTAGTTGTCCTTTCCCTATCTTTAATGCCTTCTTGGAAGCCAGGTTTATCCAGCTGTGCACTATGTGATCATTCAGTCTGACCTGCAGAGGTATTTATTCTCCAGATGAATAACACTGATACACAGATGAGAAAGAAAAAGCAGTCATCAGATCACTGGTAGCTATTTTAGATTTGATGATCTTCTTGCCCTTTCACAGGTCTACTTTGATCGAAAGGGCAAGAGTAGGATTTAGTTTTTAGATTATTTTCAAGACAGATTTAATTAAGAATGACAACAAAGCGTGATGCATGTCTGTGCAATCACTGGAGATCATCAACTACAAGAAAAATAACTCTTTAAAACAGAGGTTTTAAATGGTTAAGAACTGCAAAATTTAAAGCCAGAAAGAACTACAATCTGTTTCAGTTTTCCACGTACGACAGGCCACTCAGTTTCACAGCTACCTCCCCACCAACACTGGACCTAATCACTTCAGATGGTCCATCCATTTGTGATGTGGTGACCCAAAACTGCAAAACATGCATGACTTCTGAGGTGGCTTGCTTGTCTGCCAGCTGTGGTATAAAACCAATAACATTTCTCTTGTCCACACTACTCCCACACCGTGAGTCTTGCAGAAGACACATAGCTCACAATAGCAGCCCACAATAATAAAGATGCATCTTCCATATGATTGCATCTACACTTCCTTTGGATGTCACAGAGTCCATTTTCATGCTATCCTCACTTTAAAAAATATGCTTTATTTCTAATTTCTAGCTTTAGCTTCCAACTACCAAATCTTCAAAAGTCTTCCTGAACTAGCTGTAAGAGCTATTTAAAGAATACCTATGTTCTCCTCTGACAGAAGCTACATACTGAGCAATTAAAAGCTTTTTTTTTTTCTGGACAAACTAAGCAGACAGACCCTGAGGGTAACTATTCCACATCCTCTCCAATTGTGCCTTTCAAATGCATAACAGCACCAAAATTGCTTGCCAGATCCCAGTTCTAGTCTCAACAGTAACCAGTAGAAAATATGAACTTTTCCACTACTTTATAGAGCTTCTTTTCCAGGATAACTGGTTTTCCAGGATACCAGCCACATCTAAGGAGCGAGGCTGTACCTTTTTCATCTTGATTTGGCACTGTTAAGATGCACTTTCCTTGAATGAACTTAATGCTTTCCAGGATTGGCCTAATATTTACCACACATCTTGGCATCATTCACAGGTCTTGGGATTGCAGCCTTTGAGCTTTTTCTGTGGTTGTTTTAAAAAGCTGCAACAGCCTTTGCTCTCACATCCACTGACAATGAAGTTGAATAGCATCAGATCAACGCCGTTTTCCATGGAGATCCAGTAGAAACACTGAGCTCTCCCCCACAGATGAAATCTGCCATTTAAGCAGCTCTCTCCCCAGGCAATATGTTCTTCGATACAGCATTGCACTAGCTTGTCCAATAAGCCAGCTACCTTACAAAATTTAAACATGCTGCATTTCATGAAACGAATAAACATGCCCACAAGCGATGGAAAATAGACTCGCCAAAGATTTTCTCCAGCAAGGAAGAATTTTGGAGCTAAACAGTCATTGACATCACGCACGCTCATTTAGACAGTCATTTACAGGCATTTCGCACACAGGAACTAGCGATATGTTTCACCCGGTGACGACACACTAAATACCACCATTACACAGAAACCGTTTCAGGCGCATCCGTTCACCCCAGCGCGCC